TTGTGTAAAGCTGAGAATCTATGCTTCTTTTTGATTTGTCCCTATTCTTCTTCTCTTCATGCATATCATCCTGTTTAGTTCTGTTAAAATTACTTCACCTGATCCGAACGGTTTAATTCCGAGTTCCAGTCTCGAGACGAATGAGGTTGGAAGGCTACATGTGCCTATTTATCAACAGGCGAAAAAGCGACGCGAATCGCTGGCTCGACAGCAGGGCCTGAACATGGGACCTAGCTTTGACTGTAATGAAGAGCTTACAGATCTCCCTGCCTGGCGGCAGGTGCCATGGAAAGAGCCAAATCAGGACCCACATTTTCATGAGCAAGATGACATGGAGTCAGAAAGAAAAGGCAGTCGCACTATTCAACACAAACAGCACAAACATTTAGCTCCAATCCACGTTTCGGTAATGCACCACTCTTATGCCTATTCTCCTCATCACCATCACCATCATCATCAGCCTTCCAGTCACCTGCAGCAACACTCTAGCTACCGGCATCATCATCAGTATGCTGACGCAAAACAACAACAAAACGCCAAGCATACAGGTCAACAGCTCTTGGCAGCACACCCCCAAGCCCAGACTGATACAGCTTCGGGTGGTCCTGGATCACCATCTTCCTTCCAACAGCGTCACATTCATTACGAAAGGCCAGTGAGTAGAAAGATCTCTTCTTTGGGTCAACCTGAAATTGGCCCAAATCCAGTAGAAGAAGGAGATGTAAGAAAAAAGATTACTAAAATCACGTATTGAGTATAGCAGATACAAGCAGGTTAATGATGAAAAGCACTTATCCCAGTTCTCCTAATTGGCTTGTTTTTAAAAAGACTAATGTAACTGTTGTGCTTACTTCCATTTCAAGTGAAAGTGCTTGGTGAAGAGATTCGAAGGTCAATTCTTCTTCGCACTAATGCAACTGTCTGGAGCAAAAATATACCGAAGATAAAGGTACTTTCTAGTCCAACAAAATATAGTACAATGACTGAATAAGATAGCAATTCTGAGGCGAAAAGGCAGGAGACAGCAGATAAATTGATGAATGCATTACTACAAAGTTCTGGATAATAGCATTAATAAAGATGATTACAGATAGTGAAGTGAAATATGGAAAGAACATTTTAGACCATTCATTTCTGGATATTACCGAAATACCTGTTAAAATACGATTTTACCTTGGTAAGATGGGCTAAAATTGCCTTAATATATGGAACAAGCTGAATACATTGTTTGAACATACTTTTCATGTTTAATTTATAATATTATTGACAAGCGAGGAAGGAACGAAGGCTACGAAAGGGTAATAATAAAATAGCGTTATTGACATAAACTGAATATCTACTAATTCCGAGACAGATAGCTTGCTTTAATAAGTCGTTTGATGATTTCAGTAATGGCGTTTCTAAGTTCCTCGATTCAGCACTTCTTTCCTATGATGCCTTAGGACATTGTCTACGAGCCGTCTCCCATTAGGCCTAAAGCGGCAGTCACCAGAAGCTTTAGTTTAATAGTAGCTAGTATTTTAAGAAATATTTGCCAGAAGCTAGGAAGAGATGCAGAGACTTTAAAAGAAAACGACTATTATAAAAAACAGTGTTATCTTGCAAAACATTTAGAATATCTGGTCTACCCGATTACAGAGATAGGAATA